AGTATCTAATTGAAAATAGAAAGGTATGATTTCTTAGTATTTAATATTCTTATAAGGCCTTTTTTCAACTCACCTATCAATGTTTGATTTTTTTAAATGTTGTACAGGAAACTGTCATCTCAAAAAACAATGAATTTTTATTAGGCAAGGTGTATTGGACAATAACCCCAACTGGAATCATAATTATAGTGTTTTGCATTGCACATATCTCTTTAAGATCTGATTTTAGATAGTCTGCAGGAAGATCTCACAAGATCTGGCTGTAAGACAAGAAAGTGACAGCTTCAAACTGAGCAAGTAAGTGCAAGGTAATACATTTAGAGGAAGATTATCTAAAATTTAGCAATAGAGGGGCACCTGGGTGGCTCAGTTGGTTAACCATCTGCCTTCGGCTCAGGTCATGATCCCAGGGTCCTGGGATTGAGCCCCACATTGGGCTCCCTGCCCAGTGGGGAGCCTGCTTCTCCCTCTCCCACTCCCCCTGCTTGTGTTCCCTCTCTCGCTGTTTCTCTATCAAATAAATAAATAAAAAATCTTAAAAAAAAATTAGCAATAGAATTCTGTTTAATGACACAGTTTGCCAATCCAGAACTTACTATTTTGAGGATTTAAAAAAATTAAAGATCCATTTTTAGGAAAAACTTGTGTTTATAGATTTCTTGCAGGTCACTTGTTTGTGGAAGTGGAATGGGCCTCATCAAGGCAAAAAAGTAACTTTTTAAACCAGACATCTCTTTGATTTATATGCCTGATACCTAAACTCTAGTAGTACATGTACTCCTGGAGGTAGACAGAGCTTTCCAAGAGGTAAACAGGTATCATTGTTGAACTGGTTTCCTCAGGCTGTTATAAGAGTGTTACAATAGACATTGACGGTCTCAGTCCTAGAGGCTAGAAATCTGAAATCAAGGTGTTGGGAGGGCCATGCTCCCTCTCAAACTCTGGGTGGAATCTATCCTCCTTTCTTCTGACCTGCTGGTGGTGGCCAGCAATCCTTGGCATTCCCTAGTTTGTAACTGCATCAGTCTGGTCTCTGCCTCTGTCCTCACATAGCATTCTCTCTGTATGTCTTCAAATCATCTTCTTCCTGTTAGGTATGCATGTAATTTCCCCTATTCATAAGAACAACAGTTCTTATTGGATTAGGGCCCACCCTAATGACCTCATTTTAACTTGGTTAAATCTGCAAAGACCTTACTTCCAAATATGGTCATACTCTGAGGTACTGAAGATTAGTACTTCAACATATCTTTTTTTGAGGGGGGTATGGCATAATTCAGCCCATAACAGGTGTCTTTATTTTTTTTTCTTTTTTTTAAAAAGATTTTATTTATTTATTCATGAGAGACAGAGGGAGAGAGAGAGAGAGAGAAGCAGAGGGAGAAGCAGGCTCCCAAGGAGCAGGGAGCCCGATGCGGGACTCGTTCCCAGCACCCTGGGATCATGACCTGAGCCCAAGGCAGACGCCTAACCATCTGAGCCACCCAGGCGCCCCATAACAGGTGTCTTTAAAGGAATTGATTTCCAGATTCTCAGATACTATGTGTTTACTTTTCCTAAAATTGATGTAAATTTTCTGAATTTTATTTTTTTTAAAGATTTATTTATTAGAGAGGGAGCTCATGGGGTGGGGGGCGGAGGGAGGGGGAGTGAAGCAGACTCCCCACTGAGCACGGAGCCCAGTGCAGGGCTTGATCTTAAGATCCTGAAATCATGACCTGAGGCAAAATCAAGAGTCCAATGCTTAATTGACTGAGCCACCCAGGTGCCCCCAAATTTCTGAATTTTCAAGAGGAGCTCTTTCTTATCCATTCTCTGTTGGATGATGATGGCTATTTAATTGTTGTAGTGTTTAGATTCCATTGTAAAGCGTTCTATAACATTTAATGGCAATATTTATAATATGCTGGAAATTATATTTTTTCCAACCATTTAAGTCCATGATGAAAAACTTTAGATATCAACTTAAGTGTGTAAGGGAGTACAGAGTTGTATAAAGTTACTTTAGGAAGTGTGCGAGTAAAATTTTTTGAAGACCACTGGTCTAGAGCAGGGTTTCTCAACCTTGGGATTATTGATGTTTTGGATTAGGTAATTCTTTGTTGTGAGGAGGCTGTTTTATACATTGTAGGATGGTTTGTTTTTTTTTTTAAGATTTTATTTATTCAATAATTTTTTAAAAAAGATTTTATTTATTTGACAGAGAGAGCGAGAGCAGGAACACAAGCAGAGGGAGTGGAAGAGGGAGAAGCAGGCTTCCCGCCGAGCAGGGAGCCCAATGCGGGCCTCGATCCTAGGACCCAGGGATCATGACCTGAGCCGAAGGCAGACGCTTAACGACTGAGCCACCCAGGCGCCCCAGAGATTTTATTTATTTTTTGACAGAGAGAGAGAGAAAGCAAGAGAGGGAACACAAGCAGGGGGAGTGGGAGAGAGAGAAGCAGCCTTCCTGCCGAGCAGGGAGCCTGATGCGGGGCTCGATGAGGGGCTTGGTGAGGGGCTCGATCCCAGGACCCTGGGATCATGACCTGAGCCGAAGGCAGACACTTAACGACTGAGCCACCCAGGCGCCCCTGCATTGTAGGATGTTCAGGAGCATCCCTGGCCTCTACCCCCTAGGTGGCAGTAGCAGCTCCTCAGAGGTGACAACCAAAAATGTCTCCAGATATTGCCAGATGTCCCCTGGGGAACAAAATTGCCCTTGGTCATTGAAATAGAGCATATTGATCTTCTTTCAGTCAATAACATGGAATATAAGCATTTTAGATATTTGCTAATCTCAATTTTGAGTTATCTACTATATAGTGCTAGACATGACCTAAGATGGCAGATTTTCAAGAGATACCACCTAAGGGTCGTGGTAATAATTTATTCACAAAAGTCAATACATTTTATCCCAGTATCAAGGCAGGTGTCCAAACAGCTACATATAAATTGTCTGTTAACTTTTGCCCTATCTCTGTAGATTATAAATCCTTGCTTATATCTGGAGTCAAGAAATGGCTGTGTGGGAAACCTCTATGTTTTGTAAACGTTCTTATTGAGGACTTTCTCTGTGTTTCCCTGGGGTCGTGAACCAAACCAAGTTCCTGCAGTCACTTAGAGGTGAATTGGAATGCTGTCTTTGAATTATACCACAAAAGCTCTGTAAAGCTTTCTGTCTTAACTATCAGGAAGCTCTGATCTAAATTTGTGGCTCAATTACAATGTCTTCTCTTACTTGTTTCCTAGTACAGTTGACCCTTGAACAATCAAAGGGTTAGGGTGCTGGCCCCTGTGCAATAGAAAGTCTGTGTGTAACTTGTGATTTCTCCAAAACTTAACTTCTGATAGCTTACTGTTGGCCAGAAGCTTTATTGATAACAGTTGATTAACTCACATTTTGTATGTTATGTGTATTATATACTGTATTCTTACATAAAGTAAGCTAGAGGAAAGGATGTTATTAAAATTATAAGGAAACTATATTTACAGTACTATGTTGTAGTCACTGAGAAAAATCCACATATAAGTATATGTATGCAGTTCAAACCAGTGTTGTTCAAGAGTCTACTGTATATTATTTCCTCACTCTTTGTCTTCCCTTCATTTTATTACTTTTTTGCTTGTTTAAATGGTTCTCATTTATACTGAATCTGTGTCTTTTAGTGTAAATACCTGGTTTTGGACATGTAAATACATTAAATAAATTAAGTTTATAGGTGACGTAGTTTGAACTTTCAATAACCCAACAAAAGTGTGTAAGGTAATTTTACATTTTTTTCCGACATCATTTTCTCAGTGTACTACTCTGGCCTATAGAAGGACAATGATTTGTTGGAAATCATAAGATAATTATAAAGTAGACAGAAAATGAATACCATTTTCCTTTCATGATAAAACTCTAGGCTTCTGTGTTTTTTTTTAGACTATTATACAAGGTTCTATTTTCATTTTCTCAAAAAAAAAAAACACAATCCTGTAATTATTGATCCTAAACATAGAGATAAGCAGTCTGAAACTAGCCTAAAAACATTAGTACCTTTTAATCAGAAATGGTGAAGGAGGAAAAAGCAATACATTTATTGAATAGCTACTGTATGCTGTGCTTTGTACTAGGTACTTTATACCATATTTAATCCCCACAATGGTCCTATGAAGTAGATGATCTTAGTGCTATTTTTATCTACAAGGAATGCAAGGTTTTGAAAAAGGCAATGCACATAGATCTTTATACAATAAGGCTATAAAGGCTTCAGGACAGCTCCTGCCTAGCACATAGTAAGCTCTGTATTACTTCCTCTTATTATGTCATCTGGGATAGGGGTAAAGATCAAAAACGCTAAAGTGCTAAAATGGTATGCTACATCAATTCCTAGAGGGAATAGAGAAACAAATACACTTGGAATAAGTAATCTGGGAGGGGTGGCGCCTGGCTATCTCAGTCAGTAGAGCATGTGACTCTTGATCTCAGGGTGGTAAATTCAAGCCCCATGTTGGGCATAGAGATTACTTAATAAACAAATAAAATGAACAGACAACTTTTAAAAAAGAAAATTATTTAGAGTAGATGAAAAGAATTTTAGTTTATAATAACTGTCTTCTGCAAGAAGTTAATATAAATTGAAAATACTATCACATCATGTTAAATTTAATGAATTACCCAATGAGTTACCAACAAAAATTTGAGAAGTATTCTTTACCCTAGAGATGGAGTAAAGGGCAGTAATACTGTACAGTTCTTTCCTTGTCACCTTTGTCAGAGGCAGAAGATTGAACTAGAAGGGTCATGCATTGAACCCAATGTGACAATTCTTATATTTTTGTGTTGAGACCACTATATCATATTATCCTTTGTTTAGATATTCCTTTCTAAAGTCTCATGTTAGGTGTTATATTGGGAGGTGGTGTTTTATAATTTTGTATTTTCTTATGCTTTTTGCTAGTTTGAAACATGATTACATACCTTTTCTGCAGAAAAACAGTGGTTTCTTGCTTTTTTTTTTTCTTCCTGCCTTTAGTTCCTTGTTTTCCAGCACCCAACATAACTTGTAAGGATTTTGGTGGCAATGAAACACATTTTACTGGAAATGAAGTTGGTTTTCTCAAGCCTATATCTTGCCGAAATGTGTAAGTCTATTACTGAAGCTAAATTTTTAGGTTACTTGCCTATGTTGTATCTTGACTACATAGAATAAAGAGAGAAAAAGTTAATTTATGGGGGGAAAATACTGCACTAATATAATTTATCTTTTTTGCCTTTCTCAGAAAACCTCTATTTTAAGTGTGCATATTGTTAATATAAATGCAATTTACCACCAAGTAAAGCACAGTAGTTCATTATGTGGGATAAATAAAGACTGTGAATAGCCTCATGCCATGTTAACTCAGTCAGTTTATGCTACTAAATGAGTTATGAAAAATTCTGTTTTTAAAATTTTGGGGATTTCTAGAGTGTAAAAAATGGATCATGTAGTTCTAGTATTAAAAGAATGTTGGGGTGCCTAGGTGGCTCAGTTGGTTAAGATCTGACTCTTGGTTTTGGCTCAGGTCATGATCTCAGGATGATGAGGTCAGGCTCTGTGCTCAATGTGGAGTCTGCTTGAGATTCTGTCTTCCTCTCCCTCTCTCTCTCTCAAATAAATAAATCCTTAAAAAAAATAAAAGAATGTTAATTATTAATCATTTGCATATTAAGGGCATTCTGAAATTTGGTTTCATTCTTTGTAATAGGTATGGATGATGAATGGTTAAACAGAATTTAAAAATTCATTTGGGACGTTAAGACAAGTGGCTTTATTTTGTTAGGAGTGTTCTTTGTTTAAAGGACTTTTAAGTTTGCTTTTTATTTTTGCTGTAGTAAAGCTAATATCTTATATTTCTGCCTTGTACTAAAAACATGATTTAGTTTTACCCATTCTTATTAATTGGTGGCACTATACTTTTATCTCTTAACTGTACGTTGTTCCATTTTATTCGATGGCACCTATTTACAGTTGTATCAAGAAATCACCACTGTTTGGCTTCTTTCCCTTCCTTCCTTCCTTCCTTCCTTCCTTCCTTCCTTCCTTC